TTTATTTTATTATATTTTGTATTTGAGTGAATACATTATTCACAGTTTGATAATAATACAAAAAAATATATATATATTTTATGTTTTGTGATCATTTTTTCTGCTGTACCGAACCGAACCGTGACCTAAAAACCGAGGTACGTACCGAACCGAAATGTCTGTGAACCGATACACCCCTACAGAGCAACAAGCTGAGCTAGCTCGGTTAGCAGTGCCAAACTGCTCTGGAGAAACACATGAAACTACTTTATTCAGTGTTTTTACCTTTAATCACTGGGTGCGTTTGCTTTGGAGATTTGATTGTGATTGGTGGTTTGCTGTCACTCACTCAACTACCCCTGACATGAGAGCCGCGCAAGTTTTCCTTTTGTAGCAAGCAGCAAAATAATTGTAACATGACGAGGTTGAGTTAAATTTGCCTACTTAATATCGCAAGTCCTAAAAAAAAAAATCGCACGTCCACGCGATGTGAATTATCGTCACGACACGATATATCGTGCAGCCCTAACACGTATAATACTGTATTTATATCGCTTCAATATTATATATTTTTAAAGATTGTGTGTTGAAAAGTCAAAATCAAAATAAGAATTTACTCAAATGTATTATATCACTCTTTGCAATTATAGAATCACAGACACTTCTTGCATCATTCTTGAGTCATTCATTGTCTTACACATGTCCCTTCCCCCCTCTTCCTTGTTTTCAAACTTAAATCTACTTTCATAAGCTTCTGATCTTGAACACCAAAAAAACTGCTGTAGATTTAACAGCAAAATGTACTTCCATGTTTCAGTTCAAATAAAAAAGGTTAAAGAAGTGTTCATGCTCGGCAGGACAAAAGCGAGGAGAGCTTACAGATCTGAGATAAAGTGGTTAACATTTTAAATACATATGGCACTGACCTAATATCTATAATATGACACAGCATTTACCTATGTATGTCTTCCCTAAGGTATTTGTAAGTTATAAAGATGTTGTCTTTTAAGTCTTATTTCTTATCTTTTTTCAACCTGACATTAGTAATGCTTCTGTTTATCCTAAACTTAATAATGTATGTGAGACTCTGAGACAATGTATTTTATTGTTTATGTATCTTAGAACTTCCTGTCCATTTCTACAGAACTCAAACTGACCTTTTGACCCAGGAAGAGGCTCTTGGTGGAGAGCACGGTGAAGCTGTCAGTGGGAGAGCCCTCTGTGGTGCTGTCGGCTGACGCTGCCTTGCTCACCTCCCCCTGCTTCTGTGGAAGACACAATACATGTTGACAAGATGTGGCACTTAACATTGTTTTTTTCCCTTAGTCGCCTCTCTTGGGAGTTAAGGGGTCCGCTATACTTTTGCTTCTGAAGCAGGTTTAAAATAATATCTTCTGTGCCTTTAAAACTTGTTCCTTCCTTTAAAATATGTCAAACTTTTAGTAATGTTTGGACTTTTTTTCCCTATCACTGCTTCAAAACATATAGAATATTCAAAATACAATTGACTGCATACAAGCAGAGCTAATCCTCATTTAACAGCAAATTACACTTAAATATGTTTCTGAAAACAGTTGAGAAGAGAAATAGAAACTGAATATTGATTCATATTTTATCAGAGCAGCCTACTTTTACAGATGCAATGGGGAGCATTGGGGGAGGCAGGGGAACATGACTTTATTTTATAGCTTATCTGTATCATGCACTGCTGCCAGGATATAGGGAACCTTTCATCAAATACGGCAAACCATTGACGACAACCCACTGAATCCACATGCTCACATGGAGAGGTACCTTAGCCTTCGCTCCTCCCTTTCTCCCACTCATCTTCTTGCTGGCTGATTTCTTGACCGGCTTGGGTTTTTTCTCAGGTGCGGGTGAGACAGGAATCTCTATCAGTTTTCCCCTCGGTCCTCTCTTCTTAGACAGCAGCTCTGGATGGATGTTGGGCAAAACTCCACCTGATGCAATGGTCACGCCTTTCAGCAACTGAGAGAGGAAGACAACGTTACAAACTGAAGTCATAGCTTCAAAGTTTTAACTTAAAAAAGTATTAACTTGACATAATATCAAGTTTATATATAATGAAACATCTCTTCAAAAATGTTGTTGTTTTCTTTCGTGCAGCAGCTGACCTGGTTTAACTCTTCATCATTGGCGATGGCCAGCAGGATGTGTCGTGGTGTGACACGACCCTTCTTGTTGTCTCTGGCAGCATTACCCGCCAACTCCAAGATCTCAGCTTCATGGGTTTTAAAAACAAACAAAAATGTCATCAACAAATTTGGTTTAAAAAAAAAAAATGCAAAGCATCTGAATGCATATATAAACAGAACTAACGGTAAAAGAGTTTCTCGTCTTCCTGTATTTCCATGAAATAACTAAAGAGTAAATATCACTGAAAATAAATATATTAAAATTAAAATATATAGTCTCAACATTTGTAATAACAAAAAGTGCCTTTAAAACATATGTGTATTGTTTTGAATGCATCCAGATAATACAAAAAACCCATGCTTTTAGATCCATCAACATCCACTGTCATAGAGCTTTGCTTAAAAAAGTTGCCATAGTTTGTTTTAGTTTACTGCCTTAAAGCATATGGAAAAAGTAGTTAAGTCCAAAGAAAGATGCATCTTGTATAGCTCATCATTCTCTCACCAGTGAGATACTCGAGGACAGCAGCCATGTAGACGGGCGCCCCAACCCCAATGCGATATTTGGGCAGACCCCTTTTGATGTATCGCAGCATGCGTCCTACAGGGAAGATGACCCCGGCCTTAGTGGACCGGGACGTCTTGGTCGACTTCTTTTTTGCTCCTCGGCTCGACATGGTGCTGAGACTGCTACCAGTGTGGACCTCTGCAGGGACACAACAACCAAGTTCCATTTAGACATCTGAATAAAACTGATTTTATTATTGTTATAAATGGTGAGTCAAATAATACAAAAGGAAGTAATACAGTGCTGAATATACCAGGTGTGACTAGTTTGTTAAATACATCTTGGCAACATACACTTGTTGTACTGGTAGAAATCCCAAACTGAGGAAGTATTTCTTAGTCTTCTCTTCTCAGTATGACAGTGATGGTTCTCTAAACAATTGTACAAATGCATTTCCTGAATATGTTACCAAAAGGTTTAAAACTAGTTTTTAGACTGTTGATACATTGAAAGCGTGTTAAATATATTAAAAAAATAATTGCTGATATCATAGATTTTACATCCCAAAAATAAACTCAGTGTAATGTGAAATGATTACAAATATTATTGTTATTACGGATCACAAGTTAAATACTCTTCCTCACAAGTGTATCACTCCAGCAATATCTCAAGCAGTTAGTTTTGTGCTATCTTTCTCTAAAAATCAAGTTTTAAAAAATGCATTTAATTTGACCGAAACATTTTAAATGTTTAAATACCAGAGATCCACATTAGGCCTTTTAGAGCGCTTTTACACACACACATCAACTTAAAAGTCACACAAGCTGTAAAAGGACATAGCTATGCTGTGATCACTGGTGGTAAATCTGCCAACTGACATTTTATTAATAACATTAGTACCCTGACATTTTCGGAATGGGCAATATTAAATGTGAATTGCAAGTGGTCATGATTGTTTGGGTTTCACTCTACTAATATTTCAAGTCAATCCCCTTATTTCCAGGAGATGTACAAATGTCTGTGGTGGAAATCATGTTTTACTATAGCACATGCAACCAATTAGCTGTCTGATTTGGATACTTAATAAGATCCACCAAAGGCCAGGCTGTTTTTTAAACCTGCTTGCAATGAATGCATTGATACATGATATAATATCAAACACAAACAGGGGGAATTGACCGCCAATGAGGTTAATGGCCAGCAAATAAAACATCTGCGGCATTTTACCACTCCGGACAGGTGCAGGTGCGTTGGGTATTTCTGTCGACTGCCCACTGTCAACGATTTCCGCATGTCAACAGCGTCAGGATAGCTCGCACATGTACATTGAATGCATATTATAAACAACTATGCGTACAATTATGCATGAAATAGAGCTGTCGGACGACTTGAAGACATTTTCATGCTCCAGGTCAGCGAGCTTTCGAGTGGAAATAACCCCGGCGGAGTGACAGCAGCTGCCCGCTCCTCCTCCCCTCCCTCCCCGCTTGTCAGCTCCAGCAGATTCGGCCTCCATGTATGCCAGTAAAAACACGAAATGGCAACGTAAGCCGTTTAAAGCACGGAGAACCGAGACCGGCTCTGTTGATAACCATACTCGACCCGAAAAGACAGCAGGCGAGCCCGGTAGAAATACTCACAAAAAACACCGCGGTGGGAAAATGTCTCCGGTTCTCCAGGAACAAGTCTGGGCAGAGTCGACTCCCACAATCCACAGCGAGCGAGCCTGCTGCCCGCCGAGGGATGCAAATACTGGGGATGATCTTTAACCCTTTGCACCTTCACTTTGTCCAGGAAAACACGTGGTTCGAGCTGGAAATGCTGACCGTTTTGGTTCCAGAGCAGATCGATGCTATCTCAAACATTAAGGGTTCGGGAATTTACATTATTCAGCGTATGTTACAGTGGGTTACGTCAAACTGTTTCGACCAGGGGTGTCGCTAAATCTTGGCAACTTGTGCAAATATTCCCCCAACCAACACACACATAGCCTATCCCCATGTTTGATTAACACACAAGCTTAGATTTTACAACAATGTGTTTTACTGGTCATTACTGACTGAATTGTATTTTAATCTTATTTTCATTATTGTATTCCTGTTTTATTCAGTCCTGCATTTGGTACTAAGTAAAGCTGACACAACTCTGTGTGTTAAACTTTCTGACATTATGGTCTTGCTTGTTAAGTAAATCACCAAATGGTGATCAGTTGACACTCAGGTAATGGGCTGCAGGATGGTTTCTTCATTTAAGGGGTCATCAGAGTGTTATCAATTTAGTAATCAGAAAAGTAGATTTTATCTGTTGCCCCTATTGGTATTTATGTCACTAGACATTTTCTAATGAGTCCTGTATTTGCCAAAAAAGACAAGATGCTGAAAAAGGGCAAAAGTGTCACTTACTTTTCAAGATTCCCTGTTAGCCATAACTATACTGACAGTAATCCAACATGTAAAATACCAGGACTTGAAACTAAAGCAGCTAAGTATTAATTGTATTATTTGTTTACTCCTGGGTTTTCCCACACATCTAAAAGACCTGTTGAAATGTGTGTCTAATAATTAAAGTATAACATATTCAACATAATTTTACGTCTCGTATGTCCCACACATTTAACCAATCAATAATGCAAATACAAATTGTAATGTATTTCCTTATGTCAGGTTAAACTCAATGCAATGTCAAATAAGTCAGCCTTTTATTTTGAAGGCGAGTCTCTTCTTATAAATGATAAGGATATACAATCAAAGAATACAGTTGAACACAAGTCCTGATTAAACTTCAGTCCTGAAATTCAACACATGAATAACAAAATGGGTCATGATAAATCTAAATCAAGACACAGTCCAGGCTTTACAGCCCTCAGTGTGGCTGTGAAGGGTGAGTGACAGATTTATGCCAAAACCCAGCAGCACACTGATGCAGTGGCAACAGCTTTACACCAGAGGTCAGACCAGAGCTGTGCATTAAAGCCCAGTATACAGTTTTTATTTAAAACACATTGTATGCAGCAGGACTAAGCTGAAAATGAATGAACTTGCTGTCTTTGTCTCTCATGCAGACTACGCACCTTGTATCCGTGGGAAGAATGCAGTTTTTTCATTTTGTATTTGATTAAATCATATGACAACAATAATGGCTGTAAATGATGAATCATGCCCTGTTTAGTGCAGAATAAAATAGAAAACAAACTAAAGATTCTAGTGAAGAAAATTATGAAACGATATGTAAATGTTTTAAGTATTTCATTTGTTGCTCTTAGGTTGCTCAGAGAATACGGGTATGAGTGAAATAACCTGCTTTTTTTTTTATCAGCTTTAGATTTGTTTTTGTCCTCTGGCACAATGAAGAAAATATTGCAGTTTACTTGAAGCTTTGTTTGAATGCAGAGTTGCATTGTACAACATAATCTAGTTTGCTGTCCTCTCTCACTACCCACCATAAAATAATGAAGTATATCACTACAAAACTGTTCAGTAAGGAAACTTAAAAAAAAAAATCTCATTACATGATAGAATATAGTCATGCAAAATACTGAGAAGGAAATCATGTGACCTGAGTTACAATGTTTACATAATTTAGCATGTGCGTGTGTTTTAAGTTTCATAACTTCTGCTCACATAAGGTGAGTCTTCTGAGTTCCAGTTGTTGGTTTAGAGACCCTGATGTAGTATCACCATCACGGAGTTAAAGAAAACAGTATTTTAGCAAACGTTATGTTATAGTCACCACTTTCATGTAAAATTCAGCTGGCATGACAAAGCACATTTATTCTTATTAATAAAAATGTACCTTGATATGAATTGCTCAAAACAGCCTTACTTTTGTTCAACAAATGTCATAACATTACAGCAACAATGTGGATTTTCAGACACAAGAGAAAGTATATGATACTGTATTCTGGTCATTCAGAATCTATTATTTTAATAGAAAATGATATAGTAACAGGGTTGAAATTAGAGTAACAGGACAAAGTAGGGTTAAATGGCTACATTACTTTTGATTGTAGATGACATAATAAGTGACAAATAAATACTCAGGAAGTGTGCAGGTGTGCGTCATATGAAAGGCCCCGCCTTACATTTTCCGCCACAGATTTGGGGAAATTGTAATATCCTTGAAATATTGACTTGGAAGCCAGTTTCCTCGCGATTGAGAAATGGCCGGATTCTCTAAAGTACCGCAGTCTCTTCTCCTAAGTCCTTTTGAATTCTCCTATCCACTATCCCTTAACCCCGTGCCGTTTCACACAGAGGTCAAGGGATAGACGATAGGGTTAGACGTTAGCAGCTGATTTTTGGACAATTGGACCGCAACCAGGGTCTACCCATGGTAGTAGCACATGGCTTGCTGCTGATGTCCTTTCCACTGTGTCATGTGACAAACACTTTTTTCACTTCCTCTGCCAAGCTAAAAAGGTTTGGGTAACAGGGTTGCGCGCATATTGAGGGACACACCTTCAGTTTAAAATTGCTGTTGTTTTAAATGTTATATTTGACATGCAAGTTGGTCACCAAGAAGCTGGGACAGGAGAAAAAGGCCATTTTAGGGGATGTTCGAGTTTGATATTTTAAATAATATTTTGAAACCACTCTTTTCTACAACTTTATATGCATCTTGTCTCAAGATAAGTATATTTAACTCAACATGCATGTTTTAGCTTTTTGGGCATGGATTATTTGATTTTGTATATGTGGGACATAATATCCTCCAATTCTGGAATGACCCATATATTCTACCAAGGACAAGAAAAGGCCTGATTGAAGTACAACATAATTCAATTTTCTCTTCACATTAATTTACTGTCAGGATGGTATGGATCAATACACCAGTGTTCAAAGTCACATTCATTTTACATAACGGTTACAATGGACCGATCCCCTGTAGGGTAATAATGGGTTGTAGTGGAGGCACATGTTTCGGGCAGGCCTAGAGGTTATCTGGTGAGGGATTGTTAAGCGATAGCTGTCATTGATGAGAGTGTGTGTTTGTGTGTGCAGCCTATAATCATCAATATTCTAGTGTGTGTAAAGCTGCAGAGGTCATAAAGAGTTTATATTTTTGTATAGCACATTGGAGTACATGTCCTGAATAGGAACTGCACTAGGGAGGTACAGATGTCATTGGTCACAATAAATATAGAAAACCTTTTGCTTTTGCTTTCAGCAATTCATTTGCAATTTGTGGTTTGTTCACCATTCATGTTGTGCCCTTTGATCAGAGATCCTGCTTTGTCGGCTGCATTGTCCTTTTTCGAATAAGTTTTTTTCTTTAAATCAATGTTAATACATTTTCTTCATACTGTGTGTGTGTGTGTGTGTGTGTGTGTGTGTGTGTGTGTGTGTGTGTGTGTGTGTGTGTGTGTGTGTGTGTGTTAGAGAAGGAGAAAGAAGCACCGAGCAACATAGTTTTTTACCTGTGAAAACATGTGTTTGTAATTGATACCTTTTTTATTTTTTTAAATAAAGTGTCAAACAAACTATCCTGAGACATATCTTGTCCGAGTCAAGCTTATTGCTAACTGTGAATCAAATTTTGGATTACTGGAACTAGGATTATTAACATACATAATTAATTAGTTTATTAATAGTGTATTTATAGTTGCTTATTTAGCCAATCAATTCTGCAAAATATAGATCACTTCAGTTGATTAAAAAGTTATGAATATTAGAAAATCGTCCTTTGGGGCTTTTGCTTGAAAAATGACTTAAATCAGACACTGAAAATAGAAATAGCTGCTGATTAAGATTTTGTTTTGGTAATTGACATAGTTAATAAACTAAATGTTCCAGCTCTAGGTGAGATATTGTAATGATAGATAATGATAAAAGTAGGCTGCTACTACTTAGCCTAATTATTATCATTCACAAATGTGTTTGTTTTTCACTGCGGTCAAGCCAGCCTCCACTTCGGAAAACTATAGGTTACTTACGTAACCCCAGTTCTCAGAGTAACATGAAGTGAGATGTCTCACTATGGGATGCGCCTCGACGTGTATGCAAACAGAAGCATCAATCTCATTACGCCAATCCTGATTGGCTGGTGATCTTGACGTCTACGTCAGGGAATCCACCCACCCTATAAGTAGCTTGCGCTACGACACAGCGTCATTCAAATTAAGCACCTCTTCTCGCTTCGCCTTAGCAAGAAGGGCCGTCTGGTGAGACATCTCACTTCATGTTACTCTGAGAACTGGGGTTACGTAAGTAACCTATAGTTCTCATTCATAACACTCCGTTCGATGTCTCACTATGGGATATTGAAACTCCCGTATTGCTAAACATGCTTATCTCGAAAATCACCAAAACAACCAGAACTTAACAGGTAGAACCCCGTCTCAACACGGGGCCCAGCACTGCGCGGGCCACACTTGGAGCAGAGACATATAGCTTGTAAAAGCGGACAAAAGTGAGCGGTGAGGACCAGCTCGCTGTGCACAAATGTCTTGGATGGAAACACCCTTGAACAAAGCCCAGGATGTAGCCAGTCCACGAGTAGAATGAGCACGCAGGCCCATTGGTGCCTGCAAATCCTGAGTCGTATAAGCCAGAGCAATCGCTTCCACAATCCAGTGGGAGAGCCGTTGCCTGGTAACGGGCTTGCCCTTCTGAGGGTTAGCCCAGGATACAAAGAGTTGGTCATTGCATTGAAACTCTTTTGACCTGTCCATATAGGTGCGTAAAGCACGAACTGGACACAGCAAATTCGGCCGCTGTTCCTCAGAGGAACACAGCGGCGGAGGAAATGCCACAATGTCAATGGGGGTACATGAGCCAACCACCTTAGGTACAAAGGCAGGGTTGGGCTTCAGCAACACTCTCGTTTGCCCCGGGGCAAACTGAGTGCATGAAGGATGTACAGAGAGCGCATGAATGTCACTGACTCGCTTGGCAGATGCCAGAGCCAGTAACAGCACTGTCTTCAGTGNTTAAGATATAGGTGGTCAATTTCCTTTATGTTGGATTACCACAACACCAATATAATCCGACACTGTTAAATGGTGTACCACAAGAATCAAAGTAGTGGAGGACACAAAATACTCGCTGAACAGTTCAGTATAACCGTCTTGCCGTATTTTGGGCGTAATTTGCACTATCATATATTTTGGTACGAGGCATAGATATGCTTGGATATCTTTACGTTTTGTCGCAGTCAAATCTGCATTAAGATAGGAGGACGAATGGCGTAGGTGACAAATAAAAAATCCTTTTAAAGTATATGTAATTGTGTTGTATAAAGCTCCACCAAAAATCTTCCATAGGCCATAAATGAAATAAAAGAGGTTGTTCAATACAAAAACACACGTGACTCCTCAGCCGTTTCGTCCGTAAATTGTCCGGTAATTACATAGCTAAATTCTAACCGAATTAG